AGCCGGGCACGAAAATGTAGTAGTGTAGCGAGCAGTGACTGGTCCCGAATTCTGATCAGCCAGTGCTACGGAGACCGGCGTAGGAAGCGGGGTAAGTGTCGTGCGGTCGCGGAAGAAACAGTGCGAAGCTCTGGAGTTTAGAGTGAAATTCAGTGAAGCGTCCTCCTGAGCAGCTCCTGGACTAGTGTCTACACAAGTACCTACACTAGCAACAGGCACCTCAGCAAGACTAGCACCTAAGCTAACAACACTCAAGTAAACAGAGTCAGAAGCACTAGAGTCAACAACAGCATACATAGCATGAGGAGTTTCTAAGATATCAACCAACTGAGAAGCCGACATGCCCCACAGAGTTGGGCCGTACGTCTGAACAAGGGGAAGCCAGTCAGGGGCAGGACCGCCACTCAACGTCGTAGGCCAACCGAACCGTGTCAGTAAGCCGAGCAAAGCACTGACCCGGTGGGTGGCTGCGACCACAAGGCTGGCCGCGGCGGGCACCTGTCAGAACGTGATAGGTGCAGGGAGGGTGGACGACTCCGTGCTGCAGCTGAGGGTGTCCTGACCCCTGCACCTTTGGCTGCTTCGAGGGGAGGGGCTGCTGCTGCTGCTGCTGTCGCTGAGTCAGGTACCACGCCGCTGCTCCACCCTCTGCGGCTGGCAGACTAGTAGGTGGCTGACGAACTCGGGCGTCACCTCCACCAGCTGCAGCAGGGGAGTCACCGGCCACTGCACGAGGCGCTCCTCTAGCCCCTGCACTCCCGTCGCCGCCGCTCGCCACGTCACCCCCACCGCCTCCGCCGCCTTCGCCCGCACCCTGACCGCCCCTCCTGCCACTCCTACCCCGAGGCCTCGAGGAAGTCGTAACAGCAGCTGCGGTCACGTCAGTAGTGGCAGTGGCGAGGGAGGCAGTAAAGGTGGGCAGCTGGGGAACATTGCACCCGTGAAACAGTGGAGGGGGCACAGCACCAGAGGCGGAGGCTACCGAGCGGAGGTTGCTCTCGACGTCCTTGAGGGCAGACTCAAGGACCTCGATAGTGAGCTCGCTAGGGTGCTTCAGAAGAAGCGCGTCACGAACCGAGGCAAGGCGGTCAGGGAGGCTAGTGGCGATGAAATAAATAGTAATCGCCATGGGGGGAGGGAGCAGTGCAAGCTGTGCATCAATGAAAGCAGCGCAGTAGCTAGAATTAAGTGAACGCAGGTGAGCGATCAAGTCAGCAGAGCGCTCAAACGAGGCGAGGTCAGGAAACAGGAACGGGAGGAATCGGCGGCCTAGAGAGACAGTGGTGGGAGTGGCATGGCGGGCCTTGATCGCAGTCAGGAACTCACTAGCCGTGCGAACCTGAGTGAAGTGGGTCTCCTCAGACTCAGGGAGGAGGCTGCTGAGGGCGATGCAGGCCGCAGCGTCACGCGACGTCCATGCTGTGAGGTCAGCACGCTGGCGAGCGTAACGACCTCTGTCGGTAGAGTTAGGGCCTGCGCCTAAGGGTGCTGGATCGACGGGCTTAGGAATGTCGCCGGAAGCGTGCGCCCACAAAGGCACATCCGCCTAAACCCGAGTCTCTAAAAGGCGGCGCGCATGATGGAGCCAGACAGAGAACTCAAGCGGCCTATCCCTGGGGGTCGCCATAGCGGAAGCGAAGAGATGGGAACGATATCACCAAAACACCCTAAACGTGACAGGCAGTGCGACGCGACGGTACAGGACGCGGCTGGCAGGGACGAACGGGACACGTGCAGACGGACAGGGCGCACGGGGCGCGACGGACAGGCAGGGCGCAGTGGGGGCGCGACGGACGGGCAGGGCGCACAGGGCGCGGGCGATGGGCAAGGCGCACGGGGCGCGTGCGATGGGTAGCGCGACGCGTAGGGGACGCGATGCGACGGGCTAGGAACGGGACGGGCAACGCGATGCGCAGGGGACGCGACGCGGCGTGCAGGGGACGGGACGGGCAGCGCGACGCACAGGGGGACACGACGCGGTGGGCAGGGGACGGGATGGGCACCGCGACGCACGGGCACGGGACGGGACGGCAGCGCGACGCCCAGGAGACGCGATGCGGTTGGCAGGGGACAGGACGGGCAGCGCGACGCGCAGGGGGACGCGACGCGACGGGCAGGGGACCGGACGGGCAGAGGACGGGACGGGTAGGAGAGGCGACGCGACGGGCAGGGAGGTGCGTCAAGCAGGTGACAGGATGGGCGGGTGACGGGCGCGACGGGAGCTACGCGTGCTACGGGCGCTTCGTGACGGAACGGGCAAGAGCTAAGGGCGCTACAGGAGGGAACAAACGGCCTCAACAGGCGCTACGGGACGAAAAAGGCGCAACGAGAACGGTAGACTACGTGCAACGAGCGCGAGAGGCTCTAGCGGGATCCCACAGGATCTTAACCTAGGTGATACCAATGTCACGAATGAAAGTGTTGGTTTCACTAAGGTTGGTTGGGGTACATAAACCTAACCCTAACAATTGTGCCCCCTATAACACACATCACTAAGACTACAACATTTGACAGCCATGTACTCCAAGGGGTACATTCCCTTATTGCAGCGAGATTCAAACCGTGCGGCGCGGGAACCAGTTTCAAACCTGTTCCCGCTCTTTTCATTTCAAATGTTTCTGCCTGCATCGGTCTTGGATTGACGGTTGCTGGTGTCGCTTCGACTCTTCTGACGCCTCGACTTCGTACTCGGTAGAGTCAGTTTTTGCAGCATACAAGAATGCCTTCTCATAAAGTTTCATATCGTAACATGGACCAATCGGTTACCAGCGAAGAATGGCAACAGGCGTAACTGTCTTTAAATGTACATGCAACAACTCGATAACAGGAGAAGAGCGACAGTCGTGGTTACTGTAGCAATGCTAGCAAAGCACTTATAGTAAGAGAATGTACCCCCTAGAGTACATGGCTAGCTAGGTCTATTTATTGTGTGTAATTTCATCTTTCAATCAATTCCGTTATCTACACTCACTATGTCCAAGGTTCCTACTACAACCAAGACTTCCACAAAATTGCTCTAAGCCGACCAATCATATTCAAAATCCTTATTACAACGTATTATGAGAGCAAGTTTGGATTAAAGGAAGTACTAAAACATCGCTCTTCAAAACGATTTCCATTATCATAAACACCTTACAATTAGGCTAGCATGGTTCATGCGAGGAAACTGGAGAAAATCCAGTTCATCCAACTTTCAATATCACCTCAGGAGTGACATCTGTAGATCCAGCACTCATCGAGCAACTGATTACCCACATCAACACCTCGGAGAGCCATCACGAGCTGATGAGCATTGGCGGCTCCAGCTATGCCCGCAGACCTCCCGATCCACAAGGCCCTCACTCCGAGCGATCATTTACCTTTGTTAACCGTGGAGCACTAGGACCTGTGCAAGCACTGCAAGCACATTCCGAAGCAATGGCGTCAATACAGAGCAAGTTCTTATCAACCTCCAAGCTCAGAACGACTACGCTTTTCTACGGGAATGATTTCTATACCTGGAAGTTCGAATTCGAGCTCCAAGCCCAAACCGTGCAGATTTGGATGTACTACAATGGATCCTTACCATTCCCAATCAACAGCTAACCTCAGAAGCCGAATACTACGAGTCATCCCTCGCCTACACCGTCTTGATCCGAAATCTGACACCCACGAAGCAGGTCAACATTCACTCGTTCAAAACCGAGTAGGCGCCCGCGCAACAATTTTGCGAGCACCTGCGCACATGCCACAAGGCAACCGACTCAGTGACACCCAGACGTCTGTTAAATCAGCTGAACAATGTCAGGATGTTCCCTGGAGAGAAAGCAGAAGCATATATCAACTGCTGCAGAAATCAGAGGGGCCGGTTTAAGAAAATCGGCGAAAACTTCCCTAAAGACATGCTTGTCACCATCATCTTCGCTGGATTGAGTCGGGACTGGCGCCATTGCAAGCCGCTTCTCCGCACTCAAGGCATACTGAGCGAAATGCCACTTTGCACCTCGCCCCTCACCAAACAACAGGAAATTGACCTATACAACGAAAGGGGCAACGAGAAGGAGAACATCACGTTTACGCAACCGATGCACAAGGACCAGCAAGAAGACTGGACATACCATCAAGGAATGCCAGAAGCTGAACGGCAGTAGCAACCATGGAGAATGACAACGTGGAGCATATTACCAACGAACCGCCGGACCACCGACGCGCAACCAGACCGTGCCCCTGCCCGCCGTCGCCAGCACCTCGAAAGCTCAAGCACGAACCTCTGCGTGTTATAAGGAAATGCTGCCATGAGCAACAAATTGTCGGCGCTGGGATTCGAACTCGTGACCTTCAAATCTGTCCTGAAAGTGTCTCAGGACAGATTCAGGACAGTTTCTGCTAAGGGGCACACTGGTTACGGTGCACTTGAGTTTCGAACTGGAGACCTTTCGATTCAAGTGTCCCGAAAGTGTCTTGTCAGGACAAATTGGGGATAGTATGGGGACAGATTGGGGACATTTTGGCGAAATCGATCTCGGGTCGCGTTCGGTTTGAAACTCGGCAGCGAAGTGTCGAAGTCAACGGAATTCGCACGGGAGTTACAGTCGGTGGTCGACGGAATTCTGGTCGCTGGAATTCTCGTCTACGGAATTCCAGTCAATGGAATTCGTTTGGCAAAATTCAAGGCTCGGAATTTCGCGTCGACGAAATTCAGCGCGCGACCCGGGTCGACACTTTCTTGTGTGCTTTGTTTTTGTATTGCGTCCTAGTATAAAACCAGAGAGCACAAACCAGAAATCATCCAAGTCAGTACCACTGCTATGTTTGTGTATATCTCTGGCTATAGTGGACCGTTTTCTACAATCTTTGGTGCGTTGAAATCGTGCTTCCGAGCTCTATCAAACTGCTATAGTAGTGGAATTCTACATGGTATCAAAGCTGCGTTATCTTCGTCGATCCAACATGCGGCTTGATTCCGTCCTCCTGTCACTTCGTTCCTGCGTTGGTGTGGCCAACTCTCGCTTTGACCGCGGATGGAGTGGTTAACAAGCGCCGAGGGCCTGAATGCCCGTCAGGAGCTAGAGGCGTCCGTTCGTGAGCACCACCCTAACTTGCGTGATGTGGAGATCGACCTCATTGTGGATGGTCGCTTACTACGCATGGTTCGGGAGCGCGCTGCGGAGCAAGCACCTGCGAGCGGCCAGCAAGGAGGAACCAGTGAAGGAGGAGCTGGGCACGAGGCTCCAACTGCCGTGGGCGTTGGAGGAGGAGCTGTTGCACCGACCATTGATACGGGAATGAGCGGTACAAGCTACAGCCAATTCAAGTTTGGAGTAGAGCACATCTCCGTGACGTCGCTGCTGGAGTGAAGGCACGACCTCACCGCGTGGGTCAGCGCCATCCGACCTCAGCTCCAATGCGCTGATTTGTGGCAGTTTTGCAACGGGACAGCACCAAGCCCGGCCCCAAACAACCCCTTGCAACGAAGGGAGTACGCAAAGGGCCAAATGCTTGCATTCATGGTGCTGAATCGTTGTGTTTCTCCACCCATCCGAATGTCTATTGCTGGTTTCTCTCAGCAAGAGAAAGCCGGGCAGATGGCATGGGCATACATCTTGTCTACCTATCAAGCTCGTGATGCCCTCCACGCTTCCCTACTTCAGACCCAGCTAGCCCAACTCAGGAAGGGAGATGATGAGACGGCGGAATTCTATTGCAATAGGGCCCGCACCATCCGAGCGGAGCTGCTGACCATTGGACAGGAGGTCCACATGGCCACGTTTGCCGCTCACGTGCTGAAGGGCCTGCCACCAGTGTACGGGTTCCTTCGCCGGAAGCTCGATATTTCCAGCCCTGACATGACGGTGGAACCAGGCCTTTCGAAGTTTTTGGGGCTCGTACTTGCGCTCCCCAGCTCCTCCCCATCTGACCCTTGGTTGGGTGTAGGTGAGCGTTTTGGCGCCCTTAACGGTCACGGGCGCACCCCAAAGTGAAAACTTAAAATCTGGGCATGTGAGAAGTTTGCACTTACACTGTATTTAACTAACCCTATGTGTCACAGCTGTTAACTGCGGCCGGCTCGTATTGGACGCTAAGGGACTGTTCGGGTGCTCCAAGGCTGACTGAGACACACTACACACACGAGATTGGCTAGAAAACGCTAAGGGAAAAACCCCCTTAGCGCGCTCTCGTGCAGGCTAAGGAGAAAGAGGGGGGGGGGGGGCTTCTCTGGCACCCTTGGGGGGGGGGGGGGGGGGGGGGGTCCTACAATCGGAAACCAAAACTTAGATAAAGGGGAAGGCCTGGTTTCGTCCCTTAACGCATCCGGGGAAGGGTCGAACGAAGCACTTAGTGGCACGGGTGGGGTGCGAATCTAAAACTTGACGCATTGGAGCTGGAGCGAAACTAGCCCTTAATGTCAGGGCATTAAGGGCATATGCCCGTCAATCGACAAGCCTGGTGGAACGTGTGTGCAGCGAGGTGTTGATGGAGGAGCAGACTCTCTCCATCGAACAGAGTTACAAGCAGATCACCAGCGATGCATCTGCTGTCTCGGGCGCTGTCAACACGATCGTGGCTACAACGGGGGTCAACGGGAAGGAAGGAAAAGGAGGGAAGGAGCAGACGGACAAGAAGAAGGATGGTAAGCGGGAGAAGAAGCAAGGCCCCTTCAAGAGGCGCTGCTACAACTGCAATGAGGAGGGGCACATGGCTGCCAAGTGCCCCAACAAGAAGAAGGATGCAACGCCCGCGGCAGCCGCGAACGTTGCTGAAGGAGACGGGAACGGCGTGGCGCTTACCGTCGAGTGTTCGGCTGCAAAGCTGCTGGTCAACGACAAGGACATGTGGTTCCTTGACTCGGGATGCTCCCAACACATGTCCGGCCGCAAGGAGTGGTTCACTGTGATCCGTGATCCATCTGCAACGAAATCCGTCAAAGGGTTTGATGGTTCAATGCAGGAAGTCGCCGGTGAGGTTTTGCTGGAGGGCACTAACGGCTTGCTCGTGACTCTGCATGATGTCCTCTTTGCCCCAGGAATGAAGGCCAACTTGGTCTCCCCTGGGCAGCTCTTGGACAACGGAGCAAAGCTGCAAACCGAGGACGGTGTCACTCGCATCATCGCGTCAAGAGGTCAAGTGGCTGCAACGGCATGATACCGCCATCGCCTTCACTGCCTTGACCTGAAACCGGGGCCAGCAAGGAACGGTGCAACGGCTGCAGCGGCATGCAACGGCACGGCGGCTGCAGCGGCATGCAACGATATGGCGGCTGGAGCGGCGAGCAACGGCATAGGGGCTGCATCGGCATGCAACGGCACGGCGAAGGAGATTGCTGATGTGGCGTCAAGCAAGCTGGAAGCTAACGATGGAGCGGCCAGCCTCAAGACGTACGCGGTGGGCTCCAAGGCAATGCCCAACCTGTGGCACGCTCGCCTTGGACACGTCCACTTCGATGCGGTGAAGCGGACAGCCACGAGCGGTGGCGTTTTCGGTATGGACCTCGAGAAAGGAGGTGAGGATATGCCGTGCACCTCCTGCCATGAAGCCAAACTCACTCGTGAATCGTTTCCACTGCACGACGAGCGAGAGGAGGAGGTTCTTGGGCTGGTCCATACTGACGTATGCTGTCCATTCCAGACCTCAGCCATGGATGGAAGCAGGTACTACATTCTTTTCGTGGATCATGCCTCGCGGTACACCTGGGGGAAGACGTTGAAGCTGAAAAGCAATGCACTTGCCGCCTTCAAGGAGTGGCTTCCCGAAGCTGAGCGCCAGACTGGGATGACGCTGAAGGTGTTGCGGTCGGACCGCGGAGGAGAGTTTATGTCAAACGAGTTCCTGCTGCTGCTGAAGCAACGAGGGATCTTGCGTCAACTCTCTTGCCCCTCGACCCCCCAGCAGAACGGTGTGGTTGAACGCCGCAACCGTACGGTAACCGAGGGCATGCGTGTGATGTTGGGGCACATGGGGGTGAAAGCACACTGGTGGCACTTTGCTTTCCAGCAGTTCTTGTGGGTAGTAAACCGTGTGCACCAGTCCACCCTGCCCCATGGTGTGACTGCTCATTTGGTGGTGTTCAAAGTCAAGCCCGATGTGTCCATGGTCCGTGTGTTCGGGTGCATGGTGCAGTACCTCATTCCTGAGCATGAGCGTGAGGGGAAGCTTGCAAGCAAGACTCGTTGGGGCATGCATTTGGGCATGAGCATGGAAAGCAAGGGATGGCGTGTGGTGGATGTTGAGTGCAAGCGCATGGTCATCACCCGGGATGCACGTTTTTATGAGGATATTTCACTTGAAAGGTGGCAGAAGTGGCGTGCACGCACAGGTGATGGGAATGACCAGCCCACACCACCCGTTGCTTCAGTCCTATCTCTATTTCCTGAGCCCCACGACCCCGAGCAGAATCTGCCGCCACCACGCACCGTCATCGTGGTTCCAGTGCCGTCCGTGCAAGGGGGCGAGCAACCCCTTGATCGCTCGGTGGGCCCTTTGGGCAGCAAGGCACCTACTGCACCACCTCCTCTCGGTCCACCCTCCATTGCTGATTCGGCGCCCGTGGGACCAGAGGATGGTTCCCTTGAGGGCGGAGGCGACACGACTGATTTTGAGGAGGAAGGAGAGGTCGCAGTGGATGAGCAGCCGCCAGTGGCCCATGCGCATGAGCCTTCACTTGCAGCTCCTCCCATCCAGCCCATTCCACAACCCCCACGTCGCTCCAGCAGGCCTAACAAGGGGGTGCCACCCGTACGGTTTCAGCCATCAGCCCTGACGGCCCAGGATGTGGACGAGGAGGAGAACCCGTACGACATGGCGTACCTTGCTTAGGACGAATGCGACACGGACAGCGATGACGAAGTGGAGTACCCGGACGAGGATGAGGAGGAGGAAGGCGCTTGGGGAGGTGTCATCCTCGACCTGGCAGCTGCGTTGACCGGACCTGAAGGCAAGGAATGGTGGGCTGCTATGAAGGAGGAGATGGAGAGCCTTGATGAGCAAGGCACTTGGTCGTTGGCCGACCTACCCGAAGGTCGCAAAACAGTCGGCGTGAAGTGGCTACTGAAGAAGAAGCTGCGGCCTGATGGCTCCGTGGAGAAGTACAAGGCCAGGCTCGTCGCAAAGGGCTTTAGCCAGCGCTTCGGCATCGACTACGATGACTTATATGCTCCTGTTGGCAGCTACACCACCGTTCGCGTGCTCCTCTCAATCGCAGCAGCTATGGACCTGGATTTGCTACAGCTTGATGTGAAGAATGCATTTCTTCACGGCACCATCGACCACGAGATCTACATGCAGCAGGCACCCTACTTCACTGACGGCAGCAGCAAGGTGTGCCTACTGCACAAGGGCCTTTACGGACTCAAGCAGAGTCCCCTTCTGTGGTACAAGGAGCTGGACAAGGTGCTCCTTGTGGAGGGGTACAAGAAGAGCCTTGTGGACCAGGCCCTATACTACAAGGATGGGGCGAGCGGGAAGCGCGTGTGGCTGTTAATCTATGTGGATGACTTGCTAGCGGCAAGTGAAGACAAGCATCTACTGCAGGACCTGAAGGAGCTGCTGGCCAAGGCGTTTCAGCTCCGTGAGGTGGAGCCAGTGGAGCGTTACCTGCGGCTGCAGATTGTGCGCGACCGCCCCAACAGGACACTCCTCCTGCACCAGAATGCGTACGTGGCAAAGGTGCAGCAGCGCTTCTTCAAGGGGGCGCCACCGAAGAAGCAGCTGATTACTCCTCTCTCCTCCGCCAGCTTTGCCAAGCAGGATGCCGGGCAATTTGCCGACCGAACCATGACCGAATACCTGTCAATTCTTGGCTTGGTGCAGTTTGCGGCAATCTCAACCCGTCCTGACCTCTATTTTGCGTGCAGCCATCTTGCAGCAGGTGCACACCTAAGGACGGACGCGCATTGGCATGAGCTCTTACGCACACTCTCCTACTGGGCTGCCTCACCAGACATGGGGCTGCTGTTCAAGGGAGGACTAGAGAGCTTGACTCTGGTGAGGTATGCGGATGCGGATGATGCGGGCGACAAGGAGAACCGGTCGTCCACGGGAGGCTACCTCTTCAAGCTTGGCAGAGCGGCCGTTTCTTGGCAGGCCAAGAAGCTGCAGGGTGCGACCAAGCTCTCCTCCACCGAGAGCGAGCTTATAGCTGCGGTGGAAGCGGGAAAAGAGGGGCGCAAGCTGAGGTTCATGCTGTGGGAGTTTCAACTGCTCAAGAAGGGTGTCCCCACCACCCTGTAGGTCGACTACATGTCAGCGGTGCAGCTAAGCCAGGCGGGCGGGCTACAGGAGCGCATGAAGCATGTGGACCGTCGCCACATGTGGCTGCAGGACATGGTGCGCATGAAGAAGTTGGAACTGCAGGACAACCCTACGACGGGGCAGCCTGCGGACTTCTTCACGAAGCCGCTCGACAAGGCAGCCTTCAACCGATGCTGTGCAGCAGCCGGGCTGGTCCAGCGTGCTCCTGACAGCAAGGGGGCGTGTTAGAAGGAAATGCTGCCATGAGCAACAAATTGTCGGCGCTGGGATTCGAACTCGTGACCTTCAAATCTGTCCTGAAAGTGTCTCAGGACAGATTCAGGACAGTTTCTGCTGAGGCACTGGTTACGGTGCACTTGAGTTTCGAACTGGAGACCTTTCAATTGAAATGTCCCGAAAGTGTATTGTCAGGACAAATTGGGGATAGTCTGGGGACAGATTGGGGACAGTTTGGCGAAATCGATCTCGGGTCGCGTTCGGTTTGAAACTCGGCAGCGAAGTGTCGAAGTCAACGGAATTCGCCCGAAAGTTACAGTCGGTGGTCCACGGAATTCTGGTCGCCGGAATTCTCGTCTATGGAATTCCAGTCAATGGCGAAATTCAAGGCTCGGAATTTCGCGTCGACGAAATTCAGCGCGCGACCCGGGTCGACACTTTCTTGTGTGCTTTGTTTTTGAATTGCATCCTAGTATAAAACCAGAGAGCACAAACCAGAAATCATCCAAAGTCAGTACCACTACTATGTTTGTGTATATCTTTGGCTTCGGAGCTCTATCAAGCTACTATAGTAGTGGAATTCTACACTGCGAATGACAAAGGGAAGAATGAGGTGTAGTGTGGATGGTGCATCACGAACCACCTCGAATCAATAGCGAGTACCACTTTTTTTTTAGCTGGGAAGACATGTTCGCAAACCCACCTAAAGAGAAGGTGGAAGGATTAGTCAAGGAAAAAGAGGAGAACGACCCGACATACGATGAGCTAACGGTCAAACTCATTTCTTATGATTGGGTGGCACTACCGTGGATCCAAGAGTCGCCACCTATACGCGTTGCACATGACGACAAAGGTTGGAATCATGAAGAGGACCACAACATGAAGCATCACCTCATTCCGCGAATTGCATGTATCGCAAGGGAGAAGAATGATATCAATAAATGGTACCTGGACAGCTGCTGCGGACAGCACATGGTGTCATCCAGCCGCTACATCCTAAACAGCGAACCACTCTCCAATGAAATCGAGATCACAGACACCAACACTGTCGAACTACGTGAAAAGTCGCGAACAGATTCAACTAGAATCAAAAGACACGAACTTCCGCATCCATATCAGCGTCGCCCTTATTGTGCCGGAAAACTGCAATTCAATCTTCTGTCGGTTGCCCAGCTGATGAAGTGTGGTGTGCACCTGCGCACATTCGAAGAAGAATTTCACTTAAATAACTGACAACACCTTGATCAGAAAGGCAAGAAACAAGAACATAGTTTTTGTTCACTTTGACTCACCAGGAAATACTGGCGACGTTAACCATATCAAAGTCCTCGATCTACCAAAACACCCATCACCACCTGCTTAAAGTCATACGGAAGAAACGGACAATCAACATCCAGGATCGGACGGGACCTTCCGTGCTTTTGGTATGCCCGATGCATCAACCACAAACCTTGCAGACACCGGACCAAAAAGAGTGGAAGCGGGAGAGAAAACCAGCTCAGAAGGAAAAGGTGCAACTGGAGTACAGGGACAAGCAAACTAGCCCATATTCGAGCAACCTACGGGCTGGAATGACGCTGAAGAATGGGGCACAGTAGACGTGGACTGTCCATTGTCGACACGGGGTGGGAAGCACAACCTGAAGAAGCCTCTGAAGTCGAAACAGGATGGGCCGGAGAAAAAGAAGAGCCGAAGGTTACTGAAGAGGCACCGGAGGAAGCAGTAGAAGGGTCACTGTCGAGTTCGGACCTCACCTTATTCCAATCACAACGAACGGAAGAAGTTATCTTCGCCTAAAGACAAGAGGAGTAGCGATCGGTAACATCGACTTCGAAGAAGAAGAAATCACTCAGCGAAGATTGGCGACCAAGAACGAAGTAAGCGGAAAAACTGCTAGAGCTTCCCATACGCGACCATTGGCGATTCGAGTGGAGAATATCACGGGAGTGAGAATCGAAGCCATCCGCGCAGCAGCAGTCCAAGTTCTCGAGCCGCAAGAACCTGCAGACAGGGTGGAGAAAGAGACAACATAACAGATATCAACACGGGAGAAAGAGCTGTACGCGCACACACCAGGGTATCGGGCTGATGCCGACATCTGGCACAAGAGGTTTGGACATCCCTCGGTGGAAAGTCCTTAACAACTGCATCAAGGTCAAGGTGTTCGCGGGCAACGCACTATTGCTGTCCAACGGAGAACTGTTAAAGCCACGAAAGGACCTACCCAACTGCATAGTCTGTCTAAAAGCCGCGCTGCGTCACACTCCCTTCGCTGAAAAGATCTCTAGAGCAGAACGTTACGAGCCGCTCAACAAGGTCTACAACGATGGTGCTAACAGCAAAGAGATTAAAAGAAATTACACAATTACCTTCATCGACGCTGGCACGAGCTTTGCTTGGGCTGCAAACGTCTCTAATCGCCACTTTGCATACGTCTACTTCTACCTGTAGCTAAGGATGGTGGAGAAACAAAGTAAGGGGAAGAGGCTGAAGCCATTTCAGATGGATGGGGCCCTGGATTACCAGATAGAGGAGAAACCTCAGTGCGGAGGAAGGGATCATGCAGATGATTTGCCTTCTGTACGCTCACGAACAATAGGGCTTGGCGGAATGGACCAACAGGAGCCTCGCGACAAAAATGCGAGCCCTCATGAAGCAGTCTTCCGTGCCGACCATCTACTGGCCATATGCTATGGCACATGCTGTGCGCCCGCACAACTTTTTTTCTTCGAAAACACTGCCCAACAACAATTCACCCTTTACGAAATGCACGGGCAAGAATCCGGATACGCGCATCCTTCAAGTCTTCGACTGCATGGTACACAACCGCCCCCACACTGCCCGAACCGGAAAATTTGAAGATCGAGCACACTGGGGCATTCACCTTGGCAAGGAACCGGAGAACCACGCTTGACCATCCTCGACTTCGCCACCCCCCAAGTCACGCGTTCACGTGACTGCATCATCTACGAAAGACTGACACTGCCATTGTGCCGCCAGCACCGCTCTGCACAAAGCGCACTAAACAACATTTTCTACAGGGAGCACAGCTACGCAAGTGATCAAGACGAGGTTGATATGGCAGGAGAACAGCCAGAGGAACTAGCCAGAAAACGAACACCCTCCATACCCGTTATGGAGCAGTTCGGCACAGCTACCTTCTTCCCAACAGATCCTCATCAACGCGAGGCAGTACAAGCACAGCACAATTACACAAGCGCAAAAATGCACTCAGCTATGGAAGAAGACCCTAACCACAACTCCTCTCGCGACACCATTCGCAACGTCCCTGGCCATGACAACGACGTGGTCGAAGTAACTGACACAGCCGAGTCCAACCTCACCGGGCT